AAGGACACAAGCAGGGAGAGTTTCTCGCCAGAAAATTGTTTCGTGGAACTGGTCAATAATGGCAGGCCAACAGACAGCATTGCTTCTTATTATGAGAGACCATGAGTCATGAAGTCACCAAAATATGACGCCAATTCGTTTATCTCTTTACTGCGCCAAAAATGAGGGAGCCCTTAGCCGTCATTACCAATGTGCGCTGCTTGGAGATTTAATCGCCACATCAAATCATAAATTATCAGCTGTTGAGTGATTTTCAATGCCCACAACATGTTTTGCAGCGTGTGCAAGTACTAGGGGTAGGAATTCGGCAACAAGCAGTCATTTTCACTGCTTCCTAATCCGGAATAATATTTTGTTAAGTCACGTTGTTTAAAAGCAAACACAAATTATTCTTTCAGCTGCATCTATCGCGACCTTACGCTGAGATATACTTGAACGTACGCGGCCGCTGTATGTGACATTTGTAATATTTACACATCAATTGTATTGTCTTCTAAGCTGAATGCTTATTTAAATCAAAAAATCATTAATTTCAACCATAGTTGTGCATCAAAGACGTCAGAAAGAATAACTCACGCCGCACCTAAATTAAGGGAAAAGAAGTCGTGGAGTTATAAACACATGTGTGCTATATTTTGGTGCGAATTACGAAAACCTTCTCGCGCTTCCAATTTCCAATCGCAGCAGGCCGACAATCACTTCCTCACTCTTTTTTATATGCGAAGCAAATAAGTTCAACCTTCAGAAAGAGCACCTCTTCACGTACCTTTCGATGGCGGTATACAGTGGCAGGAACCATGTGTTTGTTGTGCGGCCGCTACACCGCTAATTTATGCACCAGGGCAATTCTTCCCCGTTTCCTTCTAGCGAAGCGGTCCTATAGCCAAACACATGAAGTAGCGTACCAGGCATACGGCTATAATCCAACGTCGCCAGCTTCCCGATTGGATTGCCTCGTGCAGAAAGGAAACAAACGAGTTTTCTCTCCTTTTCGGATGGGACAGCATACGGAGGTCGCTATAGTGCGACTATTTGTTTCTTCCTTCCTCGGTCATTCTGGCAAGAGTGCCTCTCATTAGGTGGCAGCGTGCGAAGAAACCGTGCTTTTCTTGAGCGCTGCACTGGCTGTTCCGATGAAGCGACGACAGTGTTGCTCTCTTGCTTTGATCATCCGCGAAAGTGAACTAGCCGATCACGAGAACCCGGCCATCGGCCTTGTTTTTGTTTCCTCCCCCTTTTCTTTCTTTCTTGAAGAGCTTTGCCGCCCTAATTTAGCCGGTGGTTCCATTTGAAAGCCGCAGCAGAAGCGGAAACTAAAAAAGTGGGAAGCGCCTAGCGTTGGTATCCATGTTTTGTTTATCGTCGCATAAATGGTTGCTGGGGGTGTTGGTGGTTATCGTCGTTTTTTTTTTCACAATAATGATGATGATCATGAGAAGACGGAGGAGGAGGAGTGAAGGAGGAGGAGCCCACGATAGTCGTGCTTTGCTATTACTGAAGACCCGAAACAAGCATAGTATCTGCCCATCGAGCAGCTTGACGTTTCTTGCTCTTGTTTCATGCTGCTTTTGTTTAAGGGAAAGGAGGTTTCGAGTGGTGACGAGTTCAAGATCGGGCTTTCGTTACACAACATTGGTGTGGCAAGTCTTGTGGCGCCAAGGGTTTCGGGGGTCCAGCTTGTCGTCTATTATTATAATGATCCTGTTCAAAATAAAGTGATCAAAAGAGGTCTAAACCCAGGTGAGTCATACTGAAAACTTGGTTAAGATGAACAAGCCCTAAAGTATTGCACTCCTCAAAAAAAGAAGTAATTGCGCTGTGATTCTACGTAAAATCGAACAAAGCATGGATAGTATTTTATATATTGTTACCCCTGATGGGTGAAAAGAAAAGATCTGCAATCGGTCTTGTCGGAAACAATTTTTTGAAGCACAGTAAATCAACAATGACGAAAAGGTGAAGTATCACGCTTTCCTACTCTGCTGTTTTTTCGGACTTTGGCGACGAATCGCACAAAACCTTATTCCTACGTGCTTCAAATTAGTTTAGCTAAATATGTGCGTATTTGTACTACCGTTCAGTTATTTCTCGCTTCTCTGTGCACTCAACATATTTTTATAGAAAAATTTTAAAACCAACCCCGAAAACGTTTTTTTTTTTTTTACCTTGCAGGTCTTTATTTCACAAAGGGCTTACGACAGAGCAGTGAAAATTCCACCCAACTTTCTCAGCATGTTTACTTATAAAACTGTCAAAGCCTTTAATAATAACACATTTAAAAAAATACAATCATGCTAACTCAATAAAACAGGATGCAACGAAAATTTCTGAGGACATTTTATATATTTTTTAACTTTTCCCCCTTATTCCCTTGCAGATCAGCTTTCACAATCAATAAAAAAATGTTGCATTATATCAATTCACTTCCAGCTTCCACCCGTCGTATAATGCCCTTGCGCCAGGATAGGCAATTGTAGAACAGACTTCCTGCCCGCTAAATATGGAATGCAGACCTATACTTCAGTTTCTTAAAGGGCGAGCAGTCCTGAAATAGCTGTCGGCTGAACAGAGGACGCCTGGGGACAATACCTACAATAATGACTGCCAACCTATTACTAAAAGTTTACCGGATGAAGATTTTTTTTAAATACAACCTTAAGAGAGATAAACTGAGAAACTTTTAAAATAAAAACACCAAATTGAGAATAAGTGAGTACCGATACCATAACGAATGTCTCAAAGTTTCCAGCTGACCAGACAGGCGAGTTTACTTCCAAAGTACTTTCTCCTTTTTCTGATGCAATCTTTTTCTAATCAAGACTACGAGCGAAAAATCGAATTTCGGCTGTACCGGCATGGTTTCTATACGCAGATCGACGGCGTAGTTGAAAATCATCGTTAGGTTTATTTCTTTGCTTGTTTATTCAGCGTCTTTCTTTAATTTCGTCTTTCATATTTCTTTCTTTTCGAAGGGTACCAGTCTTTCTTCGCTCGACGCTTGCCCACTCGGCTCGTCGCGCTCTGTCCGCACTTCGTCAGTGCTGTCTACGGCTCCCTTGTCCCTGACGTCACTATCCACACTGGCAAGGCCGACATCTCGTTGTTGCTTGCAAGGCCCGTCGTCCTCGCCCTCTCGAGCATGAGGTGTCCCTCCTGTCGGCAGGCTTGACGCAGGACTCTAGAACTGATCCGGGGCGTTGGAAAAACAAAGTGACTGGCGCTCGAACAAACTCCATACTGCCTGACACGAAATGCCACGCTTTCTACAAACCAGGTAATTCTACGTTATATTGCATCCGATCCCACGGCAAGTTTTTGTAATCTTCAGCCCTGTTTAGGCGCATATGGCAAAGGCATGGCAAGTTTTTGTAACGCGCAGCTGATGGCAACAAATAAGGGGCGGCAATCGTGCTGAAATGCGCATAGTGGAAAAGCTGCTGAATAAACAAAGAAGCAAGAAAGAAATATTGACTAGACGTACGCTTTTTTCTTCGTCATTATTTAGTGCGTCATTATTTAGTCGGTAACTGTTACACAGATAGCATGTCGACATGATTGGTTGATTTGTGGGGTTTAACGTCCCAAAACCACTATATGATTATGAGAGACGCCGTAGTGGAGGGCTCCGGAAATTTTGACCACCTGGGGTTCTTTAACGTGCACCCAAATCTGAGCACACGGGCCTCAACATTTCCGCCTCCATCGGAAATGCAGCCGCCGCAGCCGGGATTTGAACCCGTGACCTGCGGGTCAGCCGCCGAGTACCTTAGCTACTAGACCACCGCGGCGGGGCATATCAACATGACCGTTACATTTACTAGCTCTATTCAGTTCTTCACGAAACAAGCCGCAATTCTGTGAGAAAGTTGTGTCAAACGCGACCGCAATCGCTTGTTCAGCCTGACCTGAGGACCCGGTCTAAAGAAGGCTGCCTGTTATAGACAATGAATCTCACGGACTTATAAGCGTGCCGTTGCCCACGGCTGTGGTGATAAGACGTCCACATCGATTGGTCCAGGCACACCGAATAGTCCCGGCTGAAAAATGGTTACCGCTCAAAACTCAATACTTTCTCGCAGCGTCACAAGGGGCGATCAAAGATATAAAAAATTGACCATGCACGAAGCTATAGGCCGATCCAGTCACAGCGCCATGGTGTGGCACACAAGCTCTTGCCCCCCTCCTCCCCCCCCCCCCCCGCCGAAAAAAATGTTTCACCAGTGCCATACTGAACGCAAATTTTTTCAAGGCGGGTGCCCTCACTCCCAGGAAAAGTTTTTGCCTACACCCCTGAGCCGATTATGTGTCATACCAAGCCAGGAGAACTTCGTGCTGCTGTAAACGTATACGTGAGCGAGCAAGGCGAGTTTTACACCAACAAGCTTGAATCTCCTTTTCAACCGAGTTTCTTTAAAAGAAATGTATACAAGGAGAGGTTGGTGCCTGATGCGTGGCGCCGGCTACTTCCTCTTGCGCAAATGTCCGACATCGCATATTTTGTAGCATACACAGCGCTATACGTATGCACATAGCACAACACTTACGCAATGAGTCCACGTTTTTCAATACTGAGTCTATTCAACTGTTAAACTTCATGTGACGAGCGGCAACGTATTCTTACACCGTGCACGCAGTAGACTAATACCATGCAGTGTCACATGGCCTCTTCTAACCACGATAGCGCATAATGTTGATTTAATTTATCGATCACCCTTGGCTCCTGCAGATGGGAGCTTATACTTGTCGAGAGATGTGATCACAGTCAGGGTGAGAGGGGTAAATCCAGCTCTATACATTGACATGTCAAGGAGGGAGGCGCTGCGTGCGACGACCTTAACCTCCCCTGCAGGGGAAATCTGCGCATGCTTATGATTGACATTGAGGGCCTTTCCATGATTCCAAACCTTGAACGCGAATTTAGGCCGTATGAGTAGGCGTTACCTTAGCCTTGATGCTGAGTGAGGCGCAGAAGAAGAACACTATTGAGGCCGACTTGACGCTCACATAGTGCGGAACAGGTTCATGCCCATGGCCGAGTTCTCGTAGATGGCGCAAGCACCAGAGCCACCGCTGCACGTGCTTTCCCACAGAATGCAGCTGCGGTCGATCAGGTAACCGAATAATATTGGGCCCGGAATGGTGCCTGGTAAAAAGGTCAGATCCGCCGGTGTTGCATAACAGGTGAAGATTAACGAAAGTGTGATGCTGTCATACACATGGCGCACTCGCTCAATGTACGGCTGCTACGATCTGCGACACTTATAGATCCGAAAAATACGTATTTCTAATGAGTACAGCTAGAACATTTGGACAAACCTTTGCACTCCAACAACCCTATGCTACAAATGAGGCTACGCTGGTGCTCAAAACCGGAAGCCAAACAGCATCGTCTTCTAAGCGTAGCCGTGGGACGGGTTTAAGCTCTCCCATAGTAAAGTGACTATAGTACTCTAAATTTTTACCCACTTTTTTTAAACAAACGTCGGCTTTTCTTTACGCTGCAAGTGTCCATTATGGTCTCCAAGAAATATACGGACACTTTTTGCAAGCTTCGACAACTTGCACGAATCATTAAAGTGAAATAAAAGTGAACAATCGCATATATAAGGCCTGGTCGATACTGGATGTCATGTGAATTCAACTGGCCGGAAGAGTTCTAGGCGTCTGGATTTCGTCTCACTCGACAGCCGTCGCTAGAATATAACCGGCGTCTTAACATACAAGCAGCTGCAGGCCCCATGCATGCGTACCCAGTAATCTGATGGCGACATAGTTGACGCCTATTCCGGTAGACTTAATATCTTCGTCGAGTGCTCGAAGAAGCGCTGTCAGAGCGGGAACGATGAGCAGGAAGGTGAAGAAGAGTGCGACGAATACGGCGGCGGCGTAGACAACGATGAGGCCGCAGTCAGCGGTGCACGGGTCTCGCCTTGCCATGTAGTGAAAGCCCGTCTCGTTGCTCTCGCCTTCGGAAGCCATGAACAGCGTAGGGCCGTGAACGCAAGTGCACTGAGAATACAGCTGCACACCGAAGTCGCACGAGGTAATATTGCGTCATTGGCTGATGTCGGCTGGCATTGTCTAAATGATAGTCAGTGTCAACCAGTCTTGTACTATGCATAATTACTTTTCTCACAACTGTTACTAATATTGACTATAGTGGCGGCGTAGGGCGGCTGATCTTAGTTAACTATACGTACTAATTGCATATGGTAACTACTGGTGTCATAGCGACGAGAAGTGCTGAATAGTGTCACGTTCCATACGAAGGCGACGTCTATAGGTGGTTTCACAAGGTCCAAGTCCCGAGAGCGGTCGGCAAAGCACAGCCAAAACAAAGGCATGAGCACGAGAACTACTGCGTCTTCGTCTGCCTCTTTCTCGCTGGCCGATTAAGCGCGTGGCAATATGTATATATCAATGATGCTGTCTAGTGTTAGCCTAACAGTGGGCAAGGTTGGCCAACTATAGGTGCCGATTAAAAACTTGACTAGTGCTGCATTAGTGATGGCTACAGTTGCATGGACATGGGCCGGGCATGTAGCGTGTAGACAGGATAACCGCTGGTCATTAAGGGTAACAAATTGGATTCCCAGAGAAGGAAAGTGGGTCAGGGGGAGACAGAAGGTTAGGTGGGCAGATGAGATTAAGAAGTTTGCGGGTATAAATTGGCAGCAGCAAGCACAAGACCGGGTTAACTGGCGGAACATGGGAGAGGCCTTTGTCCTGCAGTGGACGTAGTCAGGCTGATGATGATGATGATGACGATGACATTTGCATAGACTATATGTGCGGGCTAACGGCTACTATCTGCTGTCGTAAAGGCCCATTGCCGTAATAGCGCAGACGTTGGCAATGCGCGGAACTTCCGTAGCTAACCTTGCCCGCCTTCATGTACTCGGGCGGAGTGCGTTAATTGCCTACCTTGGTCTTCCTGAAGTTCCTCACGTTCCCGCATCCGGCAACGCAGGGCGAATAGTAGGTGAAGTTGTCGCTCCCACACACCGGGTCGTAGCCGACGCCCGAGCAGTTGCAGTGCGCGTTGCAGCTGTGACTCAGGTCGCCAAAGGTGAGCGTCCGGCTGCGCACAGCATCACGTTATCGCACTCACGGCACCGGCTACTTGAAACGGTCCTGTGCGCGCTTCAAGATATCACCATATTACGAATACGTGTTTAGTCATGTTCAAAATCGGTTTTTGTAAGTGCAGCCGAGCCAAAGGGTTTCGTGTGCAAGTACAGTGCTCAACTCGGCTGTCTATAACGACGGAGCGTCGCACGCGGGACAGCACGAGCGACATCTGCAGTCGCAAATACGCCACATGTGAGCATGTGCGGCGCCAGTGATGTGCCTGCCTCGCAATACTGATCCCCGTTTATCGCCGCGGATCCAACAACCGCTTTGGTCATCGAAAGCGCTCTGAGCGAATTTGCGAAAAGACAAGAAACAAGAAAGAAAGACGAAGTAAAACGGTTGTCGCTGTCATACGATATCCCGAAGCGAGAATGTTTTTTGTTGATGTTTTATATCGATTTTGTAATGTTGACAGCGCTTCGACGGCCAAAGCAACTATCGCGGGCGCGGAGATAAAAAAGGGTGAAAACTGCAGGGCAGGCACATCATTGGCACCGCGCATGCTCAGACGTGGCGTATTTGCGACTGCGGATGTCGCCCGTGCTGTTCCGCGCGCGACGCTACGTCGTTATAGACAGCCGAGTTGAGCACTGTACACTGCTGTCCTTTATGAAAGGGAACACGCGAGCGCGTGGTCTGCGCTCTGTGCCGGCTGCCTACAGCACCATCAACCGACAAGTGAAGAAAGCACGCTCGCTTTTCGCGTCGTCTATGGCCGAGCAAGATAACGAGTTACGGCCAGTAGACAAGCGCTGTTTTCCCTGATCACTCGCACTGGAGGCGAGAGCAGATAGAGAGTGCAATCTAGCATCGTTTGTCTATCCGCCCTAAATCAGTATTTTTTTTATTTTTGGCAACAGATGGCACTGAAAGCTAACGTGTTTCCTTTTGCTGTCGGTTGATGGTGCTGTTTGCATCCGCCGCAGAGCACAGGCCACGCGTTCGCATGTTCCCTTTAATACAAAACGACAGTGTACATACAATAGCCATGTCGCGCATTCGCGAGGAGCAGTGACTGCGTGCGCTTCACCAGTCTTCGCATTCCAGAGGAGTGACGACACAGCCATGGCAGACGTTCTGATCATACCCTGTGGCCCGTGTGCCACGCTGCTCTTCTTGGTTGCGTCTGTTGCGGCACTACATACTATCGGCGTCGAATGAAACCCGAACAGCGACAAGCCTTCATGATGGTATATACAGTGCGTGGCGTCCACTTATCTCCATATATAGGCACACACTTATGTGCAGAGTTGCCGAAAAGGATGCGCGCGCCTGTCAACGGTGATAACCGGACGGCCCGCACTATACTATAGCGAAGGCTTTCCGCAGTTCGGGTTTCATTTGACACCGATAGTACAGCCGTGGCCGGCCACGTCTGTGCAGAGCATACGAGCCCCCTGTTTTCGCTCTACAGTGTGAAAGCTTTAGGCAGTAGCGGCCTCTGACTAGGTCAGCCTGACAACTCGGTCACACATGCTCCCAATACACCACTTCAGAACCCAAAACTGCATCAAGGTTTCATGCCACAGAGTGAAAACCGGTTGCGCGCGAGCTCCACAAAGACGTGGTCATGGTTATACATATTGTGGGGCATTTGCCAGTATGGTATAGTCATGGATAAGGAGAGAAAAATTGCTGCTCAACGGTACAGAAGAGCGGGGAAGCCTGAGTCATTGAATCCCAAAGTTGTCATCTGGCAATCAGTGGTTTAGTGTAGCAAAAACAAACAGGAGGGCTAAACGTACGACGAAGACACCGGATCAAAGGGCGGAAGGTCTAAAAAAGCCGTGTCACCAGGAGGTCGATGGGCAGACCATACAATGAAACTTGGCGAAATCGCCAGTGCGACTTTAACGATTTTCGAGACGGACCTCGTAAACGATCCGTTTGAACATGAATGTGACGTATGAGTGTAACCAATGAGTGACAAAAAACACAGCAAATCCATGGAGTGCATGATGATGAGTAGGGCGAAGCGTCCGTCAGTCCATCCACGCTTTCACCTACCCATTTGTTCTTGCTTATGTCCGTCCATGCGTCCATCTGCGTGACCGTCCATGCGTCCATCCATTCGTCCGTGTGCGTCCATCTGTCTGTCTCTGCGTCCGTCAATGTGTCTGTCCATCCATCCGTCCATCTAGTGAACACTCCAAGTACCGCCATCTCACATGTTTTCATCACATATTCATCATTTCGTCATATAGAAGTACCGCCATCCAGCGGACATTCCAAGGACTAAATGGGAGGTGGAACATCCGTACTTGAGGAGTGGCACGCGCACTCTCTTACGGCCTGCGCTTCGTGTATAGTTCCCATCTTCCACCGTCGCTAGTTCATGGCACTGCAGCCCAAACATCGCTAGACCTTGCTAAAACCAAGGAGGTTGCGCCCAGATAGTTTAACGTGGCAACATCTTCTGGTCAGATAGAGCTCAAAGTGCGTCCTTATGTTACAAGTTTTTAGGGACGAAGCTCCTTAACGCGTGGGGTGTGGGTCTGTACATCCTCCGATGTAAGTAGTGGTAGCAGATGCCACCGGTAGCACATACCCTCTCTAGAGTGGGTATGTACCACAGGGTATGCGAGATGCGGGATGGCGGTACTTGGAGGGCTTACTAGATGAATGTACGGACGGACGCATGGGCAGACGGACAGACAGGTTAGCAGACGGATGGATGGACGCACGAGCGGACGGACTAGGGAGCCTTCATGTGCGCGCATCTCCGTGTTTTAGGGTGGTGTCAGCCTTTGACCCACCACTTGCCACCACCCGCTAAAACACAATGTTGCCAGTCTCGGTTTCCGTGGCAACAGGCGCCATGTTGGTTCTTGCGGCCAGGCGTTCCTGCACCGTCGCACTGCACCAGCTGCATGTTGGCGCGGGTGTGCAAGCTACGGTATGAGCTGCGTTTGATTACCCCATAAACGTACCTTCCGCTACGACACCATCCTCGCGCTAAGCGCACCTACAAGAACTTTGAAGTGTAAATGCCAGGGTGCTGCGTGCCGCGATGCAAAACCGTCTGGAGACTTTCCCGCTTCCCGACTTGCTCTAGCCAACGGAAATGCTGGGCTACACAAGTGAAGTGAGACTGCTTGGAGGTGACTACTTCTCGCCGTGTTTGTAAAATGAATACCCGTTGTATTTCGAGTGGGTTGAGTATATCACCGCACATTTCGTGAAATGACTGACTTAGCCATGCAACGAAAAGCAGTTTGAGCAAAGTAAGCGCGACAACGTGCACAGTATAATACTGAATTAGGCTTCGTTCGGCTACTCTGTGCGGGCGAAAGATGGTTGAGTATGCTTGTTCATCCTTGTAGTCTAAGAGCAGTTCCTAAATCGAATGATATGACTAGTCGAATGTGTGGTCCTGCATGCATTCACTATCTGCACTTTGCCCGTAAACCACCTACAGACGCTCCCGTTCGCGGCTTCCTTTGCTGGCAGATGTTCGCATTCCTGCAATTTTACCTCAGTCGCTGAAGAAGGGCAAGTTGGAGAGGTATACAGACGAGCCGATGAACGCGTTCCCTGTAGGCGCTTGTCTTGCACAGTTGCAATGCAACTAACTTTTTCTGCGGCATGCCATGGGGTATTCGTTCTTCGCCTCAATGACACGCGCAACCACACCGTAATTAGCTCAATAATTGCAAAGAGGACTTCTCTTTAATAACATAGAATGCGACAGATTTACTGTTCGTGTCCGTCCATCCTTCTGTCTATCTGTCGATCCTGCACGGAGCAGTATATGTGCACTAAGCAAGCCGGTCGTCAGCCCATAACTCAATTATGCCCTGTGGTGCATCGTTATTTGTGTCGTCCTTTTGTTTCATTACCAGATACAGATGATTTGATATCGTAAACTCCGCTTTTATTTAGTGCTTGTAGAGAAAATGTGTATGGACTCCGTATATGTGGTCGGAGCCGTGTATGATTTTTCATCTTATTGCTTTACTCTAGGCCCACTGCGAGGACGCAAGCTTCCAGCAAAGGAGGCAGGATGGTTTGAGGACACAAGGCCAGATGCCGTTTGGATGCTGTTTGTGTAGTGGGGAATTCGCAAGGCAATGATAGTGGGACCATCGCTGAGTGCGAAGCGCGAGCACGAGCTGTAGACACTGGACTGCCCGAGCATTTGTTTCTGTACCGGCTGTCTGCCTATTACCTGGCATCGCTAATAAACCCCCTTGCAAAGTGGTGGAAGTGTTCTGGGTACGCAAACCTGGAACTTCGAAGCCGGAAGCTGCCCACTACATCAGCAATGCCTGATCAGACGACCGAGCAAGGCACCACCCAGCAAAGCACGGCCCAATCTCAACTGGTCATCGTGCCTACCACCCTGCGCCAACGAGATCTGCCCTTCTTCAGTGGCACCGAGGACCAAGATGTGGAGGACTGGTTGCAGCTGTTTGAGAAGGTGAGCGCCGCCAACAAGTGGGACGACCCCTCGAAATTAGAGTATGTCCCATTTTATCTAAAAGACGTCGCCAGCCTGTGGTTCACAAACCACCGCACTGAATTTATCACTTGGGCCGGTTTCAAGACCACCCTCGTAGCTGTGTTCGATCGCCCCGCAGTGCGCAAGCTGCGTGCTGAGCAGCGCCTACGCGGACGTGCACAAAGGCAGGGCGAAAACTTCACAAGCTATATTGAAGATGTAATCGATTTATGCCGGCGCTTCAACCCTGAGATGACCGAACATGATAAGATCAGGCATATCTTGAAAGGCATAGATGATGATGCCTATCAAATGTTGCTGGCAAAGAGCCCAAGTACCGTATCCAAACTTGTGACCTTGTGCCAGAGCTTGGAAGAAATTCGGAAACAACGTGCAGCAGTTCGGAGGTCGACGACTGCAGACGACTCTCTCGCTGCCCTGGCCGTCGGTGGTGACAGCTCCCTGCTGGAGCAGATAAAAGAATATGTACGCGAAGAGGTCGCACGACAACTTTCATGTCTCTC